TATCTATTGTAAATATATTTTTCTTAACCAAAATACTATTAAATTAATTTAACTAGCTAGCTTCTCTATCTAGATATATTTCTCTTCTATATCTTAGCTTTCTATATATTCTATATCCTTACTAGCCTTATATAAATAGTTATAAACCCTCTAAAAACTACTTATGATAGATATTAATATAAGCTACTTAGGCCTTAAATAGCTTTATATATAGCTTATAAACTTCTTAAACTAAGACATTATCTTTATAAGCTATCTATCTAATTAACTAAGTCTACTTTTACTTCTACTTTTTATTTATGGTATATAATTCTTTAATTTCTTATACTTATAGAATATAACTTTATATCTAGAGTTAGTAGCTTTTTATAAACTAATTTAATATATAATCTAATAGATTAGGTAGACTATAAGACTATATATAAAGTAAAGCTTTAATTAATAAAATCTATTAATATAGCTCTTTCTCTATATAGGGAGTTTTTAATATAAAATTTTAATTTAATTTACTACTTTAGTTTACTAAGGATATTAGGATTCAAAAGTAAATATTAAGTTTTAAAAGTACTTAATTAGGTAAAAAAGGTATTAAACTAACTACTCTAAAATCATTTTCAATAGTATTAGGTTTAAAGATCTTAATTTAGATATATAGATATATCTTAAGGAAATTAAGTTTATTAATATAGTTAATCCTAATATATATCTTTATTTTAATAAGTTAACTATATAATTCCTTAATACTATAAAATCACTAATATTAAAAGACTATAAAAGATATAATAAATATATAGATATATAAATTAATATAATATTTTTCTTTTTAGATCTTATTAAATCTTAGGATTAAATAACTTCTATAGTTATTAAGTATTAGAAGTTAATACTAATCCTTTAACTATAAAGAAGTTAATAGAATAAAGAGCTTTTTAAACTAATAAAGACTAATTTTATTAGAAATCTAGCTATTTAGACTTACTTTAAATTATTAATTATTTAAAAGGTTATTAAATTAAGATTTAATAAAAACCTTATCGTTAAAAATTATATATAAAGATAAGACTTAATCTAAAGTATTTATATATTTAATTATAATTATCTACTTCTAATTTTTAAGTTATAAAAGTAATTACTAATTATAGTATTTAATTCTTATAATAATTTTTATAATTATTATTAATCCTATTATAAAACTAATCTTATTAAAATTATAAATAATATTAAGATTAATATTATATTAAAGTATAGTTTTTTAAATAAGATTAAACTATTTACTAATAATTTTAGATCTTTATATTTTATATATTTATAATTATTATTATAGGCTAGTACTTAGTATAAGGTTATATAGTATATATAACTATAATAACCTAATATATAGAATATCTACTTAGTAATTCTATCTTTAAGCTTTTTATATATAGTATATAGTCTAGTTTAATTAGATATAAATTCTACTTTAGCCCTTTATAAATAAAAAGCTTCTAATTAGATATTGTAAAAATCTAAAACTATATATAAATTATACTTAAATTAAGAGTAATTTAGTAATATAACCCTTAAGTAAAAGATATAGAAGTCTATAAGCCTATTATTATAAATATAGATACTACTATAGTAAATAGTATAGTTATAAGCTATATAAAGTAAATAGAATAAGTAAATTAATATAGAATATATAATATAAGAAGAATTAATATAATAATATAACTAAGAGTATATTATCTAAGATAAATAAATCTATTATCTAGAGATTATAATAGAGTAATTAGTCTTATAATTAATATTAATAACAATAGGAGAACTAATTTTAGTATAAACTATAATCAAATTAAACTAAGAACCCCTATAATTAGAATCTATATATTACTTAAAGATATAATTATTAGATCTAATTCTATTTAGAGGAAAAGCAGCTAACTAGTTAATATAATATACAATAATAGAGAATAAACTATATATAGATAATATAGTAATTAGCTTATCCTAAGATTAGTTTATATATATATTCTCTAGGCTTAAGAAGCTTACCTAGAAGAATATTAGAATCTTTATAAAATTTTAATAAAATAATAAGAATCTATAGATAATTCTAGATTATTTTAAAGATATTTATAAAGATCTAAATATTAAAATATATACTATAAGATATCTCTACTAGATATACTAGTTAAATAATATATCTTTTATAAAATTCCTATTTAGATTAGAGAAGGAGTTTATAATATAAATACTTTTAAATAGTATAATAAAGTAAATAGATAGATCTTATTACTTAGTTTTATAAAATTAGTATTAATATAGATAACCCTAGTATTAATACTCTAGAAAGATTATATTATATATATACTTAGTAGTACTAGGACTTAATAGATTAGATCTTAATTATTATAATTAACTAAGCTAAGTTCTATATAAAATACTACTAATTAGGATCTAAAATAAATAGATAAATAAAGTAGATTAATTATAAAAAGATAGAGAGATAATAAAATAAAGGAAGATATCTTTATTATAATAAATAAGACTATTTTATTATAAAGTATTTCTTATTAGCTATATAGTACTAAAAACTAAAAAAGAGATATTTCTATAGGATTAAAGATAAGAAAGCTAGATATATAATTAACTATAAGTTAAGTATATTAACTTCTAAGAATAAACTTTTTTTAAGTAAGAATTTAAGAAAAAAGTAATTTTAGTTCTAAGTTATAAATAAAAATAAAAAAGAGTTAAAAAATTACTAAAATAAGAAATACTACTATTTCTAGTTAATACTAAAGTAAATAAAATCTAATTTATATAAGCTTTAGTTAATAGTAGATATTATTATTATATAATTATAAGTAAAGTATTAGTTTAATTATTTAATCTCTTGTATATTAAGATATTTATATAGATCCTAGATAGAGTAGTTCTAAATTAGGACTAAATTACCTAGATTATATATTTTAATCTAGATATTTATAATTATTAATAAGAATAAGTATTTATATATATTATTTCCTAGTAAAAGAATAGTATAATATTAGAAGATCTTTAGTTATAAGATATTAATAGTTAATACTTTATAAAGAAAGGGTATATTAATATATTTATAAGAAATAAAAAGTAGATAAAGTATTAGAACTATATAGACTATATAATTAGACTAATATAAGAAGAATATAGATTAAAAAGCTAATAATCTAAGAAGTATATAACTTTATTTATAGAGAGAAGTAGCTAAATTAACTATAAATTAATAAAGTTATAATAGATAATATTAAGAAAACACTATATCTAAAGAAATAGAATAATCCTAAGAATAAGCTACTAAAATATTATTAATAATATTTAAATATCTTTAACTAGTAGTTAATTAATAAGTTATTCTTAAATTAACTAAGAATTAATTATAAAATTATTCTAAAATAAGATTATAATAATATTAAAAAACTATTTCTATATAATATAATTCCTAGATAGGTTATATACCTAACTAAGCTATATATCCTAACCTATTAGAAAAATTTAAATTAATATATATTAGCTAATATATATTAATTTAGCTAAATAATATGATTTATATATTAATTAATCTTATAGTTAATATTCCTATATCTATTATATTAAGATAGAGCCCTTTTAGCTAGCTGATCTAGTTAAATAGGTATTTTATCCTATATATTTAAATCTACTAGAGTAGTTTTATCTAGTAAATTTAGCTATATAGCTAGTTATAGGCCCTCTTTAACTATTAGGTTAGTATTATAAGGTATCTATCTATTTAATTGATTATATTTTTGGTGTTTTTTATTATTGGCTATATATAAATTTATGTTTTCCTATACTAGTAATACTATATTATATAACAATATATAATGGCCTTTAATAATTTAATCTAATATAGTCTTTAATAGGCTTAGTAGGCTATTTAACTATTGTTTTAATAGATCTTTTATTATAGAAGCTTATTTTTATAGTTGAATAATAGTTCTTAGCGTTTTTGGTATAAATTAATTAGATCTACTACTTAGTTAGCTTCCTAGGGGTATTAGTATTTGTAGAGAGATATTAAGCTTTAAAAGTACTCTTTCTAGATTAATAGGTACTAGGCTAGTAGTTATAAAGCTATTTTAAATAATAATTGGCTTTTTGAATACTTCTAGTCCTATATATTAGTAGTTATCTAAAAAATTAAACTTATTAATATAGTTATAGCCTATATATATAAGATTGTTTATAAAGTAACTATATATATATTTAAGTACTATAAAATATCTAATATTAAGTGGTTATAATAAATATAAAGAATATATAGATATATAAAGTAGTATAATATTATTTTCTATATAGATCTGGTTAAATTTAGTTATAAGATAGTTACTATAGCCATTAAGAATTAATAGCCGAAACCGGCTATATATATATAAATTTATATATAGGATAAATAGATTCTGTAGCTAATATAGACCAATTTTATTAGTAGTCTAGCTATTATTTAAGACCTTAAATCGCTAGTCTTTTGGTAGATTATTAAACCAACTAGTGATAGTAACTTTACCTTTAAAAATTATATATAGTAGTAGTAAATAACTATCTATATAAATAGTTTTAATAATAGTGATCTATTTACGGTTTTCTGGCTGTAATATAGCTCTCCGACTGTAGTATCTAGCATATATAAGTACTTTCTGTGTTAAAATAAGACCTATTGCAAATCCTGTCTTATTAAAGTTATAGATATCCTCTGTCTGTATACCGTTATTATTAATAATACATTATACAGTCGAAAACCACTCTCGTAGCGATTTAGGATCTTTGTTTAATGTATATTAATAGTCATAGCGCCTAGAGAAGTGTGATTGAATCTCTTTATGTCGATTTATAAAATTTGATAGCCAATTTTTACTAATTGTAGGTGGAGAGTAGCTACTATATATAGCTAGTAGTATATTAGCTATCTCTTATATAGTAGCTGGTCTAGGCGCTGCTCCATGTATATCTATAGAAAGTATCTATTCAATAAGTGAATCCTCTTCTAATTTTGTCAATTTATGGCTATTTGGGTGTATATCGACGCGTGATTGTACACCATTGACACGATCAGCTAGCATTGTATGGGGGATTACGTATAGAGTTGCTGCTGCGCGGACAGAGCTGATACAGCCATTTTTGATATCTTTGATGGCTAATAAGATCCTACCCTCTTTTTCGGCAGAATTCCGAGACGATTGGGCGCGAATTGGTGGCATGGTGGTTGGTTAAAGTTGGTATATCGGTAGGAAGACGTGATTTTTGATGGGGTGTCCGGCTCGGTTGGGTGTACGACCCGCCCGGGAATTACGTTAGTTCTCTCTATAGTATAAATAAAAAAGAGTTTCTTTATATATAAAAGATATTAATAGATCTTCTTAGAAAAAGCTTTATCTAAATAAGTAAATTATTTACTATAGCTCTAGTCCTACTAATAAAAAAACTAAATAAAGAAGTATAATTCTATATTAATTACTATAGATTAAATAAATTAATAATAAAGAATTATTATTTATTATTATTAATTAGAGAGATACTAAAGAATATAGGATAGACTAAATAGTTTTCTAAGTTAGATATTAATATTACTTTCTATAAGATTTATATCTAACTAAAAGAAGAATAGAAAATAGTGTTTTAGATATATAGTATAATCTATATAAATAGAATATTACTTTATTTAGACTAACTAATATACTAATAACTTTTTAGAGATATATTAATAGGACTCTATAAAAATATTTTAATAATTTTATATTTATATATATAGATAATATTATTATATATAATAATAGATTATTAAAGGATTCTTAATAGAAAGTAAAATAAATACTATAGAAACTATAGGAAGTAGGCCTATAATATAATATTAGAAAATCAAAGTTTAAATAAAATTCTATAAAATATCTAGGGTTTATTATATAAGTAGATAAATAAATCTATATTAATCTTAAAAAGATTATAGCTATCTAAAAATAGGAAATATTAAAAATAATATAAGATATATAAAGCTTCTTTAGATTTATTAACTTTTACTATTTATTTATATCCTAATTTACTAATCTCTTAGTATTCCTAATAAAATTAATAAGAAAAGATATCTAATTTATATAGAATAATAACTATTAATAAATATTTAAAGAATTAAAAGGCTTCTTTATTAATATCTTAATTCTAGTATATTTTAAAGAGAATGAGGAAATTATTATTAAGATAGATATATTAGAATAGGTTATAAAAGCTATCTTATTATAATATAAGCTAAATAAGTAACTATATCTATATATCTACTTTTCTTAGAAACTATTACTAGTAGAGTTAAATTATAAGATTTATAATAAAGAGTTACTAGTAATTATATATATTCTCTAAGAGTAGAGACTAAAGTTAAAGATAATATCTTAATTTACTATTATAATAGACTATAAAAACCTATAATACTTTAATAAAATATAATATCTAAATAAATAATAAATAAGATAGATAGATATCCTTATAAAATTTAACTATAAACTAAAGTATTATTTTAGGAAGCTTATTATAAGATTTAATATACTTTTATAATAAAGCTAAGATATCCTATAGTATATTATAGATAAAAAGCTATTAAATTAGTTCTAAACCCTATTAAAAAAGGTATAGATTAAGATAGGATAACTTAACTTACTAGTAATAGAGAGAATTAACTTTAAGAAGAAAATATCTTTATTTAAGGATTCTATATTATAATAAGAATAGAAGAATATAAGATTTATTAATCTAGAGTATTAGAAGATATATAAAACCTTAGTAGAGGGAGACTAGCGAATCGCTACTAAAGTAAATATAAAAATAAGTAAGCCTATTAGAGTACTATCTAGATAAATAAAGACAATTTTATTTTAGATAATAGATATAGATCCTAAATAATAAGATATTATATATAGAGATTATATAGAAGATCTATAACTCTTATATTATAATATATCCTGGTTAAGATACTATCTATATAATACTATTATAGAGATTCTTCTAGCTAGAAGTAGTAAGAGATATATAATACTTCTTATAAAACTATATAGTTTATAACTATAGTATTATATAATATAATATAAAGTATAGATTACTAAAACTACTACTAATTCTATAATAAATATAGATAGAATTATCTATTGATTTTATTATAGAACTACCCCTAATAGTATATATAGATATAACAAATTTAATAATAATTATAGACTAGCTTATAAAAAATATAATTCTTATAAGTATAGTAGAAATAACTATTAAAAAAGTAATAGATATATTCTTTATTTACTTTTATATATACTATATATAGGCTATTATAAGTAGTTATAAATAATTATAGATCCTAATTTATAGATATATTCTAGTAAATAATATATAAGAAGCTATTGATTTAATATTGACTATTGACTACTTTCTATCTATAATCTGATAGTATCATAGAGTATATAAACTAAGAAGTTAAATAGATCTTATATATATTTATAACCTATACTTAGAATAATTAGGATATACTACTTCTTATTATTACTATAGTAATTAATAATTGAAATATTAGTATAATAGGACTATCCCTTTTCTTCTTTATATATAGTTACTATATTAATCTTATTAAAAGAAAAAAGATAAAGGAATCTTATAAAATCTATATATAACTAGGAATTATAGATAAAATATTTATAAATTAATTATAAGAAGCTATTAATTAGGCCTAAGCTATAATTATTTCTATATAAGCTCTATAAGAAAAGTAATTAAATAGGTAATAATAGGCTACACTAGTCTATAAGAAAGATAACTAGGTATAGTTAAATGTATAGAATATATATATATAATAATAATTAAAGAAGCTAGACTAATTTTATATCTAATATTAAGTTTTAGATATTCCTATATTTTATATAGTATAATTAAAGATATTTACTAATATCTATCTAGTATTCTACATAAAGCTAGTTAAACTGGTTGTTTTAGATCTATTTCTATTATAAATTATAGATAATTTATATCCCCTATTAATATTAGTTAATAAAGAACTTAAGTATAAAGTAGAAAAGATAATAAATATAAGATATAAGAAAATTAATTAAGGATATTATTATAAAGCCCTAATAAAAGAGATAGATTAAATAAAATAGATCTAATAGAGTCTTAATAATATTTAAGATTACTCTGTATTATATATCTTTGAAAGAAAATTTAGCTTTATTTAACTCTATTATAGATCTAAAGATAATTAAATATAACTATAATATATATAAGAAGAACTACTCTAAAGGAGGGATACTATTATAGGCTAGTGCCTAATATAAGGTTATATAGTATATATAACTATAATAATCTAATATATAGAATATCTATTTAATAATTATCTTTTTAAGCTTTTTATATATAGTATATAGCCTAGTTTAATTGGATATAAATTCTGCTTTAGCCCTTTATAATTATAATATCTTAAGAATTAGTTTAATAGTTTAAGATATCTTTTTATAAAGCTATAAACCTATTTTTCCTTAATTATTTAAATAAGGATTATTTTATAAGTCTTAAGAAGAATATTTATAGTTTTTTATATAGTAATTAACTAAGGTATTACTCTATAATTATTAAATAATAAGATTTATCTTTAAAGTATTTTATCTTCGATTTCTATTAATTTATATAGTTTTAAATACTATAAAGATAGTAGTAAAGTATTAGCTCTGATATATTAAAATAATATATTATTGTATAAATAGTACTAATTTCTTAGTTCTTTATAGCTTAAATAACTAATAAGATCCTATCCTCTTACTTAATTAAGTTTCCTAAGGTTTAGAGATAAATTAGTAATATAATAGGTAGTTAAATTAATTAAGTACTAATTTATAATTATATTTTAGATAGGATATATTACTTATTTATATATATTACTTACTTATTAAATATATTATTTTAAATAAGAGAGCCTAAGTATATAGCCTTAAATAATAGATAGAAAAAGATTTTATTTATTTTAATAACCTAATTAGCCTAAACTACTTATTATCTCCTGATTTATTTCTTAATTTACTATAGCTACTATAACTATTACTATAAATACTAGACTCTATACTATCTCTACTAATTAATCTAATTATATAATCCTTTAATACCTAGCTATATAGACTTAGCTAATATCCTAAGGAGCCTATAATATATTTCTTAGTTAACTAAGTAACCCGATTAGGTGAGCGACCCTATTAAAAATCTACTTTTAAAATAGTACTTTTTTTTAAAACTACAATAAAGATACTATCCTAATACTCTGATCGGAAAGAAAAGCTAATTAAATAGAAGGGTTATCTTTTATTAGCTATATAAGCTATAAAAGATAGTAAATATACCTCTACTACTACTATTATATAGTCTTTTTAACTACTAGTCTTAACTTTAAAAGCCTAGTTTAATAGATATTAATTATATATTAAATAACAATATGGTTATTATATTTTCTTTAAAATTGAAGAAGAATCAATAGAAAATTGGTTATTAAGTATAGATTTAAGAGATATAGCTCTTAATTTATCTATATTGTAAGATATAGCTAATATTCTACTTTATATATAGAAAAATATATTTTCTACTACCCTACTACTTAGTATTAGTAAAAATTAGTTTATAGAGTTTATTAAATAATAACTAAACCTCTCTAGTTATTTCTTATAATAATATAACTATTAGAGAACTATTTTAGAAGATCCTCAAATTATTAAACTATAGTTTAATTTAATTTAAATAATAATTAAAAAATAGGGTATTGTTTCAGACAATATCTTTAATTTTAATAAAAGTAGTTTTACTATAGATATTAGTTTAATATAAAAGATTATTTCTTTAGTAGAATACTATAGTAAAAGATATCTTTTATAAGCTAAAAATTATAAATAGATCACTATAATTAAATATATTTAAGCTTCTAAAAGTGTTTTGTCTCTACTTTTTATTTTTAAAGGAAAACTATTTCTAGAATATTATTTTATTCTAAATACTAAAGAAAGAGTTAGGAAATACTATCTATTAGTCCTCAATAGTTATAGAAGCTATTTAATCCCTAAATTTAATTAACTTTACGAGAAAAACCAGATTATTCTAATCTATATATCCCTATATACATCCTATCTTTTACAGCCTTTGGATATAAGCTGTTTTTTAGTATTAAAAAAGCTTTATAGTAGAGCTATTTTAAACTTAA